TATATATATATATATATATATATATATGTTAACATTTAGTAGAAAAGAGTGATGCAACCCGATAGTTTGCAGCAGAACAAGTGTTGGCGATTGCACTACTTTTTACACTCACAATAAATGTAGACACATATAAGCTACTTTTAGTTTGTCGTCATTCATTCGCTGTACATAAGCAAACGTCAAAAAATAGTCCCTCTGGGCTACAATTCCGACAACATTTTGACCGCCCGTTGTGCGTTTCACCACCACCATCACCACCACCACCACCACCACCATCAGCATAAAAATAAGGAAAAAAGACAGAAAAAATAAAAAAAAAAATAAAAAAAAAAAATGAGGAAACTATGGCTATAGACTGTGCAGATAGTGTGTAAATTTTGGTGCTTCAACTATCCATTTACTGTCGATTTTTATGTGAGCTTTTATAGGCATGTAACGCGGCAACTCGTAAAACTTTTTTCGATTTTATGTTCTTGAAATGTTTTATTTTTAACACCAACAGCATTATCGTCGTCATCATTATCATTCGCATCAGCACCAGCATTCATCGCAACAGCAACAGCAGCAGCAGCATTCAATTGTTTTGCTATAGACATCAGTTGAGTAACTTTAAAAATTAGCACTTTTTTAATGCCACTCTTTTGTTTTATGCTTATGCTGCACATACACACTTATACAGCGCATAAACGCGTGGACAGAGAGAAAGAGAGAGAGAGAGAGAGAGAGAGAGAGAGAGACTAAGCTCTATGCTCGCATAAATATACATTTGCAATTGTTAAAAATAATGTCTTGACTTTGCCTTCGAACGCCTTGGGTTATGCAATGATATGCGTTATGGTAAATATTTCATCTATTCGTGTTCATAGCGAACGTCACGTTTTATTGGTATATACATGTGTATGTGTAGATGAATTTGTATGTGTCTGTTTGTGTGTATATTTAATGTTGCATTACCTTATTGTTATTGTGCATGTGTTTGTGCATTTTAGTTTTGAGGGCGTTTTGTGCGTGGATCTCTTGGAGGTTTTTTCCTTCTTTTCGTCTTCATGTCGTTTTTTTTTTGCTTTTATTTTTTTTTTTTTTTGCTTTTATTTTTATACTTTTCCTTCTTGCTTTTCATAATTCGTAAATAAATATCGATTGTGCGCAGGCGCTAACGATTTACCATTTGGCTTACCGGCGGTTTCATAAATTCTTCTCTATATGTATGGAAAATTGAATTTTCAAGCCTATGGTATGTATATATGTGCATATATGTATGTGTTAAAGCACGAGAGCAAAAATTCAATTCAATTTAATTTGCAAATGTGACCCATATTGTTATTGTTGTTGTTACTAGTGGTTAGTATTGATTAACCAAAGTAAACCATTAGCTAAGAAATCAGTATTCTTTAGTAATTTATAAAAACTTTCTTATATATATATATATATATATATGTTCGCTCAATGCTAACATAAAATGTTGCGTATATGCATACAAATAAGTTGCTAATTGAATTTCTCAAGATTTAGGAGTTCCGCATTGGGTTTACCTATGCTGCCGTAGCCGCAAGGTGAAGTTGATTAACTGAGATTGGATTTCCAAAGTAATTTTTTTTTTTTTTTTTTTTTTTTTTTTTATTAGCTTTTCTTTCTTTTATTTATTTATCTACTCTTTTTTTTTTCTTCTCTATATATAAAAGTTTTTTAGTAGGAGTATTTTTAGTTCCTAAAAGGACGTTAGCAGAGGCGCAGATTTATTTATTTTCCATTTCGCTAAAGAATATCTCTTCCTCCGTTCGTGATAGTGTACCAGTAGTGTCCGCTACGTACTGGCAATTACGCATTTATCCCTGGCCTACGTATATTTGCCTAATAGTAAGCGTTTGGTTTATTTCATTTTTCGCCTTCATATTTTTGTTGTTGTTTTACAACTTTTGTTACGGGATAACATATGTAGTTTTTATATTTTTAGCAAATTTTAAAATATAATCATGCATTCAGCTTTATTGCATTCTTATATATTGTATTGTATTTTATGTGTGTATGGGAGCATACAACATAATTGTATTTTAAAAGAGTTTTTTGTCAAAATTATTATTATTATTAGTTTGTTTAGATCTTATTTTTTCGCATATTTCCAATTCCATGGTATCGCGGGTAGCCCATATCAAAACGCATTAACTTTTCACACGACTCGTCACAACTCAACGTAACTTTTGTTCGAATTTAAGAGAAGAATTAAGTTATTTCGCAAAGCTTCTACCGCGAGAGCTACCGCATAAACTATACGATAACCGACAAAGTCTATGGATAGTGATGGTAAGTACTTCAACAAATACTTGTTAAAAAGTACGATAGAGTGAACTCATTTCGATGTATTCAAAGGCGAAAAACAACCCTTAGACGGCCTAAAGGTCAAAAGAAGATATTTTGGATTGGATAAGTCGCCTCCCACCAGCTATGTCATATCTTAAAAATTCTGTAAACCGTTAGGAAATTCGCCTTAATTCGCCTATGCACGTCGTACGTACATACATATATGTTAATTAGTATTCATGGCGTAGAAATGTCTGAATATCTCTCTGTTCACTCTCTGTTTCTAAATCTTTTCCATTTGAAATATTTGAGAAGTAATTTTGAAAATTTTCTTTTATTATTCTTATACTTATTTTCGGGTACTAAATTCCTTATAATTTGTTTGAAAATTGACGGTAGTACGATCTTTACAATTTTCGGAGTAAAAGTTGAAAACGTCCTTTATTTGAATGATATTTTATTTTATGACACCATTGTTGGTACAACTGTTTGAGTCATAGAACGGCTTGAGAGCTTGAACGGTTCATATTTATTATCATGTAAATATTTTATTATTCAAGGTTATCCGTGCATTTGTCCGCCAGGACGCGTTGTGATCTTTTATGATTAACTTACAGGTCGCGATTTTTGAGATATTTTGACGAATTTTCTTACATCGACGGGTATTCATCCAAGGAAGAGCGCAAGACGGCCCACCATTAAATGCTCTACACCACTCTACGAAGTTACTAATGTAACGAGTTTTCAATATTAGGCATTAGGTGTGATCCAGATCATTTTCAATAGCATTCGTTCTTGGGCCCACTTACATCGTTGCATCGAATTCATTGAAATACCTTACAAATGGCCAGTTGTAAGTTAAGTCCAAGAAATGAAAACGGACAGACAAGCTTCGATCGGGTAAAAAAGTGATGCTGAATCGATTGATTAATATAATAAAAAGTGGATTTATTTTAAGTTCTTCCGGGTATTGCATACGTCCGCACAAACTTAATATGCCCATGTGCCACAAGTGGCGTAAGGGTATGAATATTTAAGCAAGATGTACATATATGCGATGGATTTACTCTTGTTGAAATTACTTTGCTTCTTTTATACAGAAGTGAACCGGGTATTCTAAATATTCCGTCGTCATTAAATAAGTGATGATGATGATGATGATGATAGTAGCCTAACAAAGACTTGGCGGATTTACTACACAGTCAATGTTTACTTGACATTATAAGTTTAATACCACTTCTCGATAATAAATGATAAAAACGCTTTTAAACTAATTTTCAGTTTATCTTGAATACTTTGCACACAATTACACATTTTCAACATCTGTAAGAAATGAAGTAAAAATCACTCGTAGACTAATTGAATGGGAGTATGTTGTCCGTATAATTTACGTTACTGTTTTACAACATGATATGTAGTCTATGTCAGGAGATCATGAATAACAAAAATGCTTTTAAGAAAAGTAAGAAATATTAAAAAAAAAAAAGAAGAAAAGTAAAACAGAACACCGCTGAACAAATAT